CCGGGGCCCCTACTCCATCTCCCACCCCCAGCCTGATGGGCCCAGCACTGGCTTAGGAGCCTTGGGGGGCTCATTGCTCAATGGCGGGGAGGGGGGGCAGGGTGGTGGTGGAGATCTGAGCCCATGAAGGGCCTGGCCGTGTCCCCTCCCCCTTCCCTGCCGTGTCGTGTGGGCTGTCTCTGGGCTGTTGGTCTCTGCCCACTGGTGGCCTTGGCGGGTGGGGGTGGGGGACATTGGTGCCCCTGCCCCTGGTCCCTGGTTGTGTCTAGGGTCAGGGTGTCAGGGGACCAAGCAAAGTGCATTCTGGGAAGTCACCTCCACTTGGGGGCCCCAGAGGCCTCCCTCCTTGCTAAGTAAGGCTACCTCGTCGTTAGGTATCCTCGGGCCTCAGGCCCCAGTACCCGAGCACAGAGAAGCGGTAGGGACAGAGACTGGCCCTGTGTGGCCTGAGGGAGAAAGACTTCTGGGGCCCGCTGCCTCTTCCTCTGTAAGGGACTGCCTCCTTCCCCCCCTCCCCCCCATGGACACACCTAGGGAGCTACAGTTACTGCACCGCTCTGGTGGTAGTCTTGGCCCCCCTCCCCATCAGGGTCTTGAGATGAAGTGGGCGTGGCTTCCCAGACCCTGTTGCAGGTGAGGGGGTCTGCCGCCAGTGGTCAGAATGAGAGAATGAGGGCCTCGGGCCAGGCTGCCCTGGGGATGGGCAGGCGGGAGCCCTGCATGTGTGGCCAGTGGTGGCTGCTGTCCTCAGCCATGGGTGAAGCAGGGGTGCGGGGACCCCGCCCTGAGGGATGCACCTGTGGGTGCCTGAGCAGCACCTTTCTCTAATGTGTCTATGGAGCATTGAGCTGTTTGCCCCCAGGGCAACGGTCCTGGGGGCAGCTGGCGAGGGGGCCTGTGGGGAGTTCCCACTTGGAGGCTCCAGGTTTGCCCCTTTGGGGGGGCTGGAGGGACTTTCCCAGGGTCTCCGGATTCCCTGACCCCCTGCCTTGTCCCCCCCCCCCAGGTTTGTACCAATGCGTGGATGAGCCGGCCACCTGCTGCCCCCGCCGCCCGGCGTGACGCTTGACAAGGGGGCCGCTTAGAGGCCCGCTGCTGGCATGCCCTGCCAGCCC